AAATAAGATACCATTAAAGCCTATAAGATTCTCATCCTTTGCATTCAGAAAGGAGGCAATTGTAAAGGAAATCAAAGGAAGGATTGCTTCAGGAGTAATCCATAGCAGCAATAATAGCTAAAAATATAAATATATTCAAAAAAGGTTGAGAAATGTTTATAAATTTTAAATTCATTATAGAGAAAGCATATATGAAAGTGAATTAGAGATGTCTCATTTATATCCTTAACCTGTCCTTCCAAAGAACATCTTTCACTTAGATGAGTCATTGACCTAATTCATTGTGACATTTTTATACTGTCAGTTTTTCATTTCAGAGTCCCTGCTATAGCTCCACTTAATATATTGTCTATGCCATTGAGACAAGCCATATCTATCTGTTCATTAATACGTACATGTTTAAAGCATCCACGCATTTTTAGAATATAAGTATAAGTATATAAGTAATATTACAAACTCAAACAGAAGACTTTGTGGCAAGGGAAAATTTGTATGTATTACTTACCTAGTAATTATTGTCAAATAATGGATTTGAAACGGATTTTAAAAGTATACATATACTTTAGAAACATGAACCATTAATATTTCTCTCCACACTGTTCCATTTCTTTACATCTTTAATATATTTTTGGTACCTCTTAGTGTCAATATAAATGACAGAGTGTAGATTGTCCTTAATGGTTTCCATTCTGGCTGACAGTTTAATAGAAAGTCTGCAAAACAAAGCAAAATTATACAATTGCAAACCTTATATATCATTTTCAGTTATAGAGCAATTATGTAGGAACTCCTTTATTCTGACTTTATGAAATTGAATTTAAACTAAAAATTTTAGATTAATTATATATCTATGTATCATTAATATTTCCCCTTTGAAAGGCACTACATTGGGTGCTGAGGATAAAAGAGATTTGGCCAACAAGTACATGAAAAAATGCTCAAACATCACTAAACATCAGGGAAATCCAAATCAAAACCACTCTGAGATATCACCTCACCCCAATCAGACTGGCTATCATAAAAAAGACAGAGAATAACAAATGCTGGCGAGGATGTGAAGAGAGAGGAATCCTCCTGCACTGTTGGTGGGACTGTAAATTAATGTAGCCATTATGGAGAACAGTATGGAGGTTCCTTAAACAACTACAGACAGAACTTACATATGATCCAGCACTCCCACACCTGGCAATAAATATATCCAGAGGATTGGAAAACATCAAGTCAAAGGCATACCTGCACTCCCATGTTTATTGCAGCTCTATTTGCAATAGCTAGGCGGTGGAACCAACCTAAATGTCCATCAATGGATGACTGGATAAGGAAATTGTGGTACATATACACAAGCGAATACTACTCAGCCATAAAAAAGAATGAAATTCTACCATTTGCAACAACATGGATGAGCCTGGAGAAGATTATCCTGAGTGAAATAACCCAGGTGCAGAAAGAAATACTGCATGTTCTCACTCATAACTGGGAGCTGAATCCATAAACAAGCAAATGAACAATAAAGAGACAGAGAGAAAGAAAGAAACAATAATCACAGTAATATGTTGAACTTTTAGAAAACCAGAGGTGGAAAAGGAGAGGGGTGAGGAAGAGGGAGGGGGGGCTAATGAGGAACTGGTCAGCAGACACAAAGAATGATTGCGTACTATGATGATGAATAAGCTAACTATACTGATCTAACTACCACACATTCTACATAATTATTGAAAATCAACATTGTACCCCACATGTATGTATAATAAAAAATAAAAATTTTTGAAAATTTAAAGAAAAATGTAAATCAAATTTTCAAATACTAAGGTAATCAGTATTTTCTGTGCATTGAAAAAAGGATCTTCAGATTTGGAGAATCTGTAAGATTAGCCTTTTACAGCGACAATTTGGCTTTTGGTTGTTTGCTGTCTCAAATAACACAACACAAGGCCCATTACATAGTAAGCATTCAGGAAATATTCCATTCAATTAATTCAGGGTAAAAGGGTGGAAATGTCTGAGGAATTTTAATTCTGTGTAAGTTTAGAATAACTTCTAACAAATAAAAGTACACCTCAAGCTATAATTGTTCATTCATTTGAAAAACAGTAACCACATCAAAGACCCAGAGATGCCCTTTTTCTGATAGTCCACTAGCCCCAGAGAATGGGAAATGTGATTAGCTCAGTGAGTTAAATGCTATGTCTGATGACAACTGCTTCTTTCTTAGACAGCGCAAGGATGAGCTGGAACAGAGAATGTCTGCTCTCCAGGAGAGCCGGAGAGAGCTAATGGTCCAGTTAGAAGGTCTCATGAAGCTACTAAAGGTAAGACGTTTCAAATAAATGCTTCCTAGACCTATTATCATGGCATTTGAAAAACAGTGTTTGCACATAATGTGCAATGGTTTTTCCAATTACTGTATGTGATTTCCCCAAAAATGTTGTTTCAAACTCCTATGTAGAACTATTTCGTAGACCCATGAAACAGTGGTAGTCAATTATAGAACTCTTTCTTACCCATTTCCTGGAACCTTGCTACTGAAGGCCTTCGCAGAGTAACTTCTTGGCTTATTCTCCGTTCTTTTATGTCCTTAAAAGTAATAAAACTGGGTTTACTTAGAAATATTTTATATTTAATAGCCTTCAGAAATTCTGATTAAGTTGAACAAGAGGCTAATTTCCGCTTCAGAAAATTAAGACATTGGCCATTAAATAGTTTTGGTGATGATAGTTTTATTAAGAGGACTTTGTTGATTTCAGTAAAATATTTTCTCCCATCTGTGGCTCTATCAGCAAGTCACATGATTTCCAGTGGCATCAAATGCAAACTGTAAATGAGAATATTTCCTTACTCTTCTGTAAGTTGAGTGTTTAATAAAATGCTCTATAGAAGTCTTCTGTAGAGTACTGTAATATATTATTCCCATTGGGAAGTAACATTCTTCCTTTAATAAAACTTTATTCCCTTCATCAGTGTACACTAAATTACATTTAAAGTCAGAAGTAGGCAGATCATGGCCACATGGCCACAGTCAGCTCAGTAGAAGTGTCAGGGCTGTGTGATCATCCTGCCTGATGTAAACAAGCATGAACCCAGGATGGATTAGAACTGGGACATTCCAAAGGCAGGAAATGAAACTTCTCATAGAATAGTGAAGAGAGCGTCCCTAGGGTGGCTCAGTTGTGAGACAAGATGAGCTGACTTTCAGTCCATGGATCGCCCACATTCCCCCACACTGTCATTCGTTGCTTTTACTTTGTCCTTCCTTCCCTTTCTTCCTTCCTTCCTTTCCTCCTTTCTTTCTATTTATTTCTTTCCATTTCTTTCTTTGTCTTTCTTTCTCTCTCTCCTTCTTTCTTTCATTTCTTTAACAAGTATTTTTTGAAACCTACTGCACCCCAGGCACTGCTCTTGTAACATTTCTTTCTTTTGTTTTCATGACTTTGTTTTATTCCTTAGTCAACTTTTTCTGCCATCAGTGCCCTCTTTAACAGTGTTGGGAAAGCTTGATTTTTACTCAACAAAATTTACTTTTCAGTATATGAGGGTACTTCAAAAAGTTCATGGAAAGATATACAACTCTTTCCATGCCTCGCTTTAGGCATGCAAGATCCTGTCTACAGTAAGACAGAACTAGATAATTAATGACCTGCTGCTGTTTCTGGCCTATTATCTCATCTGATGAACCAGAAAAGTTCTTTCTGCTTCTCTTTTCAAATACACCAAATGAAGAGGACTAACTCTTCTTTCCCTTCACTGAATGACAGGAAGCTTTGAAACCTGCCACCTGCTTATGTTCCTGTAGCCTCTGTCACCATAGCGATGATCCTTTCACTATGGGATAGGAGTCTATTTACCACCACCGGTGGTAAATAGAGCACAGCCTTTGTATCAAGTTGTACAAACACCAGGATAGAGAGATAAATCGTGTTGAAAAATGGCTGGACTCATGGAGAAAATAGATGGGTCTGGAGTCTCAGATACTTAAGTAGACTTGGAACTACAGTTGCTGAGGTGGCAGAGGCTTGGACCCGCCACCAAAGCCATGTCGATGTTTCCCCATCGTGCATCCTTCACACTGTGTACGTGCTCTTGTTGGAACCCTGAGTAATCTAACTATTATTGATTCGATCTTTCTGTAGGAAGAAGAGCTGAAGCAGGGAGTAAGTTATGTCCCCTACTGCAGGTCTTAACTAACAATGGAGGGGCCTGCCATCCTGCTGTTTTTCTCATTGCTTTTGCCTCTAATGTATGTTCATGCTTCAGTTTGGAAAGAGAAAAGAAAATCATACTAATTTGCTTCCTTTTCAATGTAGTGCTTGAATTGAAATATATAAACTTCAGCATTCTTTATAACTATCACTGTTGTCGGCATCAAAAGGAGAGCTGTTACATCTTTTAGAAGAGGGAACGAATTGTAATTTGTTAAAAACTATTCAGATCCCCAGGGATATAAGTTTCAAAGCATTCTTATGCTTTCAGAGGTTGCTGATCACACCCTTCTGTTAATAGAAAGACACCCCCACAGTCACGAGAGCTACACCAAGATTCACGTTATTGCAAAGCCCACGGCACACAGAAGCTAACCTCTACCTCCTCTCCTGTCATGAACATGCATTTCAGTTTCCATTTTACTGAAAAGGTGTGGAACCCTTTTTTAAAAATAAAAATCAGGCAATTAAATCTCTTCCCATCACATAACTGTGAAGTCCTGTCCTCCACTGCCCACCAAACTGTGCTCAGTCTTGTGAGAGAAAGATTGTACTCAGTAACTGTTTACTTCCCATCTTTCTGGTTCTTCCCCAAAGCAGAATACCTACTGTTGATTGACAATAATCTTAAAGGACAGGTCACTTTCAGTCTTTCTTTTTATCACCAAGAACCTTTCTGCTCTGGGAGTTCACCAAGTCATCACATACATTTTTTTTTTTCTGGAAATAGGGACATTGTGACTATCTAAACACAGCGTAAACTGGAGTCATGTCTGACTAATTTCAAGTGCACGTACCAAGCTGTGTATGACAGTGTACTGCACTCACTAGAGTTATTAAAAAGTTTCCATTGATCAGTTAGAAACAGCCTGTCCAATTTCAGCGTATCTTTTAATTCTTCTGTATGCTCTTTTCTATTATTCATTGTGTGTGTTTGTGTGTAACAAAAAATGTTTGCAAAATGCTGGACACATTTTTACCCTTCATTCCCACGGTCTGTAAAAAAGGAAAGTGTAAAACCAATCTGTAATGTCAGACAATAAAGACAATGTATTACATTATTTTGTATTTTGTGAAAAAAATTACTGAAGTCAAATTTTAACATGAGACAATCTCCCCACACATTTACAGCCTGTATAATTGCTCATAAATCCATACATGGGGTTTTACTATTGTACTTACAACACACTTAGATCATGGTAGAGAAAATGCCTTTCTTGTGGTACTTCTCTTTGCAAATGGCCTCTTCTCTTCCCTGTCTCTTACTTAGCATGTGCATGGAAAAAGGCAATAGGAATCAAATAAAACCTTCCTCCTCCTAGTGGATGAGGAAATTCACAAACCAGTGATGTGCAGAGCCAAAGCCTGGCAGTGCCCGCAAGGCGCCACCACTGCCCTCATCTTCCAGCTCCTCACCACGTAGGAGGGTCAGCCAACAGTGGGACTGCAGTGCAGGGACCTAAAGGCCATCAGTCCCCACCACCCACATGTCAGCGGTGCGTCGCATCCTCTGGGTGGAGGGAGCGTTTGTCGATTTCACTAATTTACTTGCTGGCTTTTATACTCAAGCCTCTTTTCAAAAAGGACCTGAGGCAGCTTACAGCAAAAGATATAAACAGTGGCTCTTCAAAATTGAAATAGAAAAATCAAAAACTAAAGGAAAGAAAATGCAGATATGCTAATCATACGGGACATACAATCATGTCAGCTTTCTGGCAATGCAGAAAAAAGAGAATATATAATCAGTAGTTTTATCAGTGCAGAAATACCACTTCTCAGGGGACAGAAATTTATGTTGGCATAAAATATAAAAGAAAGTCTTCACTCAGAGCTCTACAGAAGGAGTACTGAATAATAAAAAGGAAAAATGCAGTCATAGATTTTCTGTAGCTATTTCTTATACTGACCTTCAGTCAAAATTAAAGACAGAACCCCATAAATTTCCAGTTCTATAGAGGCAGTTCTACAAGGAAATAAACAAATGCCATCCAAATATACAGACTTCTCATGGTAAACATGATCTAAGGAGAGAATTTAGAGGTTTTAGACTGGCATCTGCTTCTAAATTCTGTTTTTATTTATGAGCCTTTCCCCTTCAGGGGCATTCTTTTTGAAAATCAAACTGGAAACACTCCACACAACAAATTGTGCTTGATTTAATAACCTCTACTTGCTTTATCATAAGTCTGTGTGGTTCAATGTAGTGTTTTATTATACTGGTATATATAATTCCTACCTATACTGTTTCTTGTTAGAAGTAATGCATGAATTTATCCCCCTTGAGGAGAGAACATGACTTTAAAAAATAACAGTGCCTGTAATATAATGTGATGATTATGGTATCACAAGCAATAAATTTTTTTACAAAACTTGAATTGAAGTTATCCTACCCTCTTTCTTCTTTGTGTATCTTTAAGATTTATTGAAAGAACCATAAAAAGAACACTCATAAAATTTAAAAATTAAGGCAGCTCGGGTGTAATTGCAGTAACAATGTGTTCCAGAATTTCTGGTATACTTCCAGTTCCAAATATTATATACCAGTCTAAAACCAAGTGTCCTGACTTTGAGTTCAAAAAGCAAGGTTTTAGTAATAATTTTCTTAGAAAGTCACTGGAGTTAGACCTGAGTTACAATGGTCCCAGCTCTTTGCTTGCAGCTGTGAGATCTTCAGTAAGTTGACTAACTTCCGGGTCATTTATTTGAAACATACTGATAATACATGATTCATAGGGTTGTTGTATAGATTTAAAAACATAATGGGTGTGAAAACACTTTGTAAAATACTATATGAGCGTTAGATATAAGTGTGAATGTATGAACATAAGTATACACATATGCACAAGTATATATAAACTACAAATTTAACTTATATTTTACACACACACACTCACACACACACATTCACTTCTCTTCCTTACAGTTAATCAATAGTGTCAGTTAACTGATAGTGTCTCCTTTGGGGGAAGAAATTTGAACAGGGCTTTTAATTTGTTCAGATCTCTTATAATTGCTTTCTACAGTAGAAAGCAGAGTCATTCTTATTTCTAAAAAAAAACAAAACAAAACGACAGAACTCATCCAGTAAGATTATATTTTCCTGTTGCTGGTAA